CGGACAAACAGTGATCTTTGGCTGTGTGTTTAATTCGCCAGGAATGTTAAGCTTCATAAGATTCACCCTATGGGGCCATGTTGGTCCTTGGCACTGTTACTGTACAATTCCAAGAGATAGATATACGCATTAGAGATTTACACAGTAGAGATTTTTAAAAAAAATCTGAGATGTACGAGTTTATTAATTGAAGGAATAAAAAAATGAGTTTGTCAAGCTTATTCTTTCTGGGACACAATGCAGTTAATTAACATATTCTTAGGCTTGTTTCTGGATTTGGTAAGCAGTGGTCCCTTTCAAAAAGGAAAACATTGAAATCTTAAAAAAATTACCTCCTTTAGTCCAAAGAGTATTTAGCAATTTACTGCAATTTCTGCTTTTTTGAGTCAAAGGTATGTTTCATTTATTTCAAGGTTATTTTCCATTTCAAAAACTGATTTTCCTCTTTGCCATGCCCAGAATCTTTTCACTTATATAACCTTAACATTATTGAATCTTATGAACAGACACCTAAATATGTCAATTTAATCACACTTTCATTATAATAGAAATGCAAATCTTCAGTGTCAGTAAATAATGGGAATGAGGATCTTCTACTTTTATACTTATGCTACATTGATGAGACTGAAAAGTCAGCATAATGCCTTTAAATATTGTTCCATATGGAAAAAAACTGTCCAGCTCTGAAATATAATTGATGTTTATATAAAATGCCTAAAAAATCTGAATTCATCTTTTAAATGTTATTTTTCTATGGGTAATTACATGGCATTTTACCCAGAAATGTAAATATAACATATATGTATATCAATTTTATAGCAAGAGGAGAAGCTCTGAAGCCCAACAAAGGATTAACTAAGCCCAAACCTCTTAAATATTAGGCCTTGGTTCTTAAAAAACATTTTCAAAATTTACATTACATTAGATTTTAGAATTATCTAACTGAACAGATCAGCAATTAGGTGTATCTAACGATGATATGATTGATTCTGAATTACTCTGTTTCGTAAGAAAGTGATAATTTTAACATGAAAAGGTAGTTAGCTAACATTTGAGGGCTATTTGAATTCAGACAATGAGAAACTAGCTGGTAAATCCAAATGATTCACTTACAATAATTTCAAATATTAAAAGTCTGTAAAGAAACTAATTTATCTAAACACTTTGATTAACCATTGCTTAAACATTGTAGTTGCAAATAGCAAATTAAATCTTACTTTATGCTGAAGAATAAAGCTCAGGCTACAATTAGCTTTTAAATACCAATATTGTACGTTGAATGCTTATTGTGGGCCTACTATGTGCAAGATACTTGCTAGAAAATGTGGTGAGTAAAAAAATAAAACCAAGTAGTATGACTGGCACATGCCATTTAAGTGGAATTTCCCAAAGCAGGTAAAAGAATTTTAATTGAAATTAATGCCTTTTAATAAAAAAATTAAAATTTGGAGTGCCAGTAATAGAATTCTTCCCAGGAACAATTTAGGCAAAGCACCACTGCGGTACTTTCCTGGCTGAAATTAGTAATGGCATAATAATAGGCTACAATCTAGATGCCATGTATGATTTCTATCTATAAGGACACCATGCTTTCTCACTGTGAGATGAATAGCAAGACTAATTTCAGAAATACTTCAGCATTTTAATTAGTAAGCATAAATTTATGGCTCATGCTAAACTTTCATATAAAAGGTAAAAAAGTCGAGTAGTAAATGGTCAAGACAAAATTTGATTCAGATTCCTTAATGTAAAAAGGGAATGTTTCTAAAAATTTGAACAGACCATAAGAATTTACATTTCTCAACCAGTTTATTTAGAAGCAAGACTAAAGTTGAAGATGAAGTTTAGTGGATAAATGAATTATAAAAATTGCTTTTGTTTGAAACATTACTATCAGAGCTAATACAGAATTTAAATGCTCAATGGAAGTCAACCTGGCTAGGGAAAGTGTATTTAGTCTGAAGGTTCAAGAAATTTACTTCAACTTCCATATTTTATGATAGAAATTGCCTCAATAGACATGTCAAACTAAATCTAATATAGACAAACAATATACACAAAAGACAAAGCTTTAATTTAAGAAAGGACATCATATAAGCATTACTAACCTGGGAACCAAAATTTATTTTAAATATTTGCAGACCACTTAAGTGATTTTGGAAAATCAAAAATAAAAATTTGGTGCTAAGTTAAGGGATAAAGAAAATTATAAGAAGATCTATCACCCATGGAAAAAATACAGTTTTCCATTATAGTAGGGTTAGAGGTTACATCGTAAAATATTTTACTTGAGTTTTTTGTGGTTGCCTCAGATGATTAGTTCAGGGAAATAGGTGAGCCAGGACCGAGTTTGCTGCTGTTTTGTGAAGAATAGTGGAAACAACAGACCTTTGTTTTATTCTACAAGTACTAGATACACTTTTTCAAAGCATATTATTTGCATATATAGAATCAGATAAATAACTCTTTTAAGGTTGAAATTGTCCTTTTCAAAAAAAAAATTGTCCTTTTCTATGAAGTTTGTTTATAAATCTCACGGAATGTGTTTTTTTGATATCGTATATTAGAAATACCTTGATTGTGGACCTGAGTGATAATACAGTAGGCGAAGCACTTGCCTTGCGTGTGGCTGACTCAGATTTGATCCCCAGCATCTTTTATGGTCCTAAGACACCTCAGGAGTGATGCCTAAGCACAACAAGGCTGGGTATGGTCTGAAAACAAAAAATTTTAACAATTCTGGCAATTTATTGTAAACCTTATTCATTCTGTAATATGAGAATTATCATATTCAGTCAATTCCCATATATATGTTTGTGTATATGTATATATGTATATATATAAATTCATGTACACATGTGCATATATATTTGTATTCATACATGTAATACATACTTATATTACACAAAAGACAAATAGAACTTGGTCACAGCTCTAGTTTCTGTATCCCAAATAGTCCTTGGTTCATAGTAAATGTTGAATAAATATTAAGTGAATGAATGCATAATTAACTGCATCTATGAAGAATTATTCTTCCCACTCATTTTATACATTGTAGGATATATTAAATGTAATACCTCTGAGATATAAGAAAATTCCACATTTGGGCCAGAGAGATAGTACAGTTTGCATAAGGCATTTGCTGTATGTGGCCAACCTCTATTTGATCCAACACTACATGTAGTCCCCTGAGACCAGTCAGGAGTAATCCCTAAGCATAGAGCCAGGAATAGCCCTGAATTCCAACAGTTTAGCTGCCCACATAAAATAAGAGACACTAAAAATTCCATATTCGGTACATGTGTTAAAATTATAACTTATCAAAACCTATTATGTTTTCTGCTCATGTGTTTATAACTCCACATTTAATCATTTGACTTATTTTGGCAATGGTTGAATATATACCTACACTAAAATTTCTTTTTAAAACTTTATTTTTTTCAGTTATACCAGGAGATACTCAGAGGTTACTCCTGGCTTTGAACTCAGGAATTATTTCTGGCAGTGCTTGGGGGACCATATGTGATGCTCGGGATCAAACCTGGGTCGGCCATATGCAAGGCAAACACCCTACCCACTGTGCTATATCTCCAGTCCCTCTATACTGAAATTTTTGGGACTGAAGAGATAGTACAGCAGGTAAGGCAGGTAAGGTACTTGCCTTGCAATCAGTCAATCTGTGTTACAATCCCAGGCATCCCATACAGTTCCTGGGTCTCAGTAAAGTGTTTTTCCTGAGTGCAGAGCCAGGAGTAACAGCTGATCACCACCAGGTAGCTTCAAACGAATAGTGTATAACACACACACACACACACACACAATTTTTTTTCCTTCAGATAATATTTTTACATATAAGCTTTTACTTTAGGTAGGGTAAGGTGTTTTTTCTCTTTGGTTTTAGGGCCATACCTAGCTGTGCTTAGGCTTGAACTCCTGCTCTGCATTCAGTGATCACTCCTGGCCAGACTCAGAGGGCCATATTTGGTGCAAAGCCCAGCTGGCCACAAGCAAGGCAAGTGCTCTACCTCGTTATACTATTGCTGTGGTCCTATGTATAGGCTTTTAAAAATGAAGTAATGTGGCATAGGAGAGATAACACAGGAGGGAGGTAAGGACCTTGATTAATCCTAGCATGTGGTCCTGCAGCACTGCCAGGAATGATTTCTGAGCATAGGGCCAGAATTAAGCCCTGAGCACCAAAGAGTGAGATCACCCCCTCCCAAGTTTTTAAAAAATATTTTCTATACTTTTAGAATTTCTAGTCTTACTGTGAACAACTTTATGAGAATAAAATTTAAGAATTTAGAATAAAGTTTCAAGTCTTAAATAAAGCAAACAATTTTTTTTGCCTTATTTTTGGAATTAGCAAAACTGTTACAGAACAAGGCAAGGAATCCATCCTTCTTTACATATAAATTAACTCCAAGAACTAAACTTGAATGCATTAAAAGAAAACAAATGTATTTTCAGTATTTTAATTTACATAATGAATATAAATTAATATAGTAATTTGTGCCTTAAGGCCTGACTGTAGTGTTTGGGGAGGGAAATTTCACATTGATTTTTAATTCAAAGGTACTCTTTCATTAGAACTTTTTTGTTTTGTTGTTTTTGTTTTGGGGCCACATCTGGCAGTGTTCAGGGCTTTATTCCTGGCTCTGTGTTCAGGGATCACTCCAGGTGGGACCCAAGGGGACCATAAGGGGTATGGGAATGGTCAGCCACAGCAAGAACCATTCCTGCTGTACTATGTCTCCAGTGTTGAGGAAGTGGGGCTGGAGGGATAGCACAGCGGGTAGGGTGTTTTGCCTTAATCGAACCCGACGCGAGTTCGATTCCCAGCATCCCATATGTTCCCCTGAGCACCACCAGGAGTAACCCCTGTGCATCGGCGGATGTGACCCAAAAGCAAAAAAAAAAAAAAAAAAAAGAAAAGAAATTTGAACAAGTACAGGAATTGGATGTTGGTATCCCTTGCAAAGATGAAAGATTACAATTGAGTTCTTGTTTTCACAGCACATATAAATAAAATTGGGATGATACAGAGATTAGAATGGCCCCACACAAGGATGACTCATAAATATGTGATGCATTCCATATTAAAAGACTCCTCCCTGGGGGCTGGAATGATAATACAGTGAGTATGGCATTTTGCCTTGCATGAGGAGCCCACTGGGGTTCGATTCCCAGCATCCCACATAGTCCCCGGAGCACCGCCAGGAGTAATTCCTGAGTGCAAAGCCAGGAGTAACCCCTCTGCATCACTAGGTGTGACCCACAAAGCCAAAAAAAAAAAAAAGACAAAAAAGACTCCTTCCTCCCCCAAGAAACCCAAGCAGTTAAGATATATAGGTAGGAAATGTCGATCAGTAAAATGCACTTGCCTTGCAGGAGTGAGGCGGAACCCCAGCACTGCAAAAACAATTTAAAGGGAATAAAACACAAAACAAGGTAGTTTTGGCATCAGAGAGTTACTTAGTAGGTAATGCACATGGACATGTGAGAAACTGAATCTGCCTCCCAGCACCACATTCTGTTCCCTGAACACTACCAGCAGAGGTTCCCTCCCTAGCCACTTCCCAAAAAACCCCCCAAAAACAGAGGAGGAAGTGGAGGAGTAGAAGTAAGGAGAGGACTGAATATTATTTTGTTTGGGAAAAAAAAGGAAGTTTAAAAGTTTTTATTTTTGAGGGCTTGGAGAGAGTATAGTGGGCAGGGTGCCTTGCACAAGGCTTGCACACGGCTGACCCCCCGTTCAACACCCAGCACCTCACCCCATACCCCATATGGGCGTTCTCCTCCCCCAAGTCAGTTCTGTGGACCAACTCTCTCTGTTCTGTTCTTAGTAGGTAATGCACATGGGCATGTGAGAAACTGGTTTTACACATTTTTAGTGTTTTTTTTTTTTTTTTGCATCACACCTGGCAATGCTCAGGGGTTATTTCTGGCAGTGCTCGGGGACCAATGGGATGCCAAGGATTGAATCTGAGCCGGCCTGGTTGAAGGCAAATGCCCTCCCCGCTGTACTATCTTCTCAACCTCAAACTTTGGATATTTTTCTGCCTATAATTAGTATCATGAGTAATTGGGATTGGGGTAAATAGGGGTTAGGGTAATATGTAAGATTTTATGGCTCAACACTGTAATTTACCTACTTAATCAATTCAGATAAGTGTGATCCATTTTCCACCTGTGCATTCAACATTAAAATTTCAAGAGCATATTCTGGGTATAGAAGTAGATCCTCTATCTATGGAGGCCGGAGCAATAATACAGCCGGGAGGGCGTTTGCCTTGCACGTGGCCCAAAGGGGTTCGGTCTCCAGCACCCCATATGGTCCCCCGAACACCGCCAGGAGTAATTCCTGAGTTGCTGAGCCAGTAGGAACCCCTGAGCATCACTGGGTGTTATCCCAAAAGAAAACCAAACCCAAAAAGACAACGATAACTCCCCACCCCCACCACCAAAAACCCAAAAAGAAGTAGATCCTCTGTCAACACTGGAACTCTACTCTCCTGTTAATTATCCTTTGGCGACTGGCTAGGACATAGGCGCCCCCATCCTTTCCCAGATGCCTTTTACTCCTTTCTGATGAACAGCCCTTGCCAACCCCTCCGCGGGAAGTTAAGGGTAGGCAGCCTTTGAGTTCCCAGAGCACCGCGGGAACCCCGAGGACTGCCGGTGACCTTTTCCGTGGGTGCCCTTTCAATGCGGCAAACTTTGGGGGTGCGTCCGGGCCGTGAAGCCGCGGGGTGGAGGAGGTGGAGGCGGGTCCCGTGAATATTCGCGCGGCCCGGAGCAGGAATCCATGCTCCGCTGCGCCCTTCATGGAAGCTGGCGCCCAGCCCCGGTTCCCCGAGGGTCAGCTTTTCAGGAAAAGCCGGTCCGGTCCAGCTCAGAGGCGGGGAAGCCCCCGGGGATCCCCTCCAGCTACCGACAAAACCCCCACCCCGCCCGCGTCCCGGAAGCCTCCGGCCCGCCCGGCGCGCCTCCTCCTCCGAAGGCCTCGCTCCCGGCGTGCACACGCCGCCCGAACGCCCGGCGCCGCCCCCACGGCTCCGCCCCCACGTGCGCGCCCCCGCCGCCTCCCGGGGGCCGGGCTCGGGCCTGGGCGCGCCGCCGCCGCCTCCGCTCTACTCCCGCCCCGCACGGCCCTGCGGCCGCGAGAGGCGAGGGGGCGGGGCAGCGCGGGGGGCGGAGCCCGGAGCAGGCCCGGCGCGGCGGCGCGCACGCAGGCGGCGCCTCTCCCGGGCGGGCGCGCACGCCGAGTGACGCTCGGAGGAGGAAGCGCAGCCCCCCTCGCCCTCCCTCGCTGCCCCTGGCCCAGCGGGAGCCCCCCAGTGCGCCTGTGCGGAGGCCTACTTGATTATGTGTGCCCTCTCCGGGCTCCTGCGTTAGCGGCCGGGTGGAGGTGGGGAGGGAAGAGGACGAGGAGGAGGCGGAGGCGGCGGTGGAGGGGAGGTGGGGGGAGTCAGCAAGGACATGGCTCCTGACTCCTGTGCGGAACGTGAGTGACTGAGCGGCAAAGCCCGAGTGAGCGAGCGGCCGAGCGGCGGGCGGGGGGTCGGGGGCGGCGGCGGCGGCGGCGCCGGGGAGGGATCGGGGGGCGCGGGCGGCTGTGCGGCGGTGGGGGGGTGCGCTAATCATTGGCTGGCATGTGTTTTTTAATGGTGCCCCCTCCCCCGACTCCCTCTTAGATGGTCTCTAGCGACCGGCCCGTGTCACTGGAGGACGAGGTCTCCCATAGTATGAAGGAGATGATTGGAGGCTGTTGCGTTTGCTCAGACGAGAGAGGCTGGGCCGAGAACCCGCTGGTTTATTGCGACGGGCACGGCTGCAGCGTCGCGGTGCATCAAGGTAAACCCCCACCCGCCCGCCAGGCCGGACCGGCCTGCGCCCAACCGTCACCGCGTCCCCCCACCTTGGCAGCAACTGCCGGCGCGCCCCGCCCGCCCCTCCCCCGCCCCGCCCCCGCCGCGTTCGGCGGCCGGGGATTGCCTCGGAGGGTCCGCGGCGGGGCGCAGGGGGTGTGGGCTGTGCATGTGGGAGAAAGTGCGTGTGGCCTGGACTGTCATGTGACTCTGCGTTCACTCTCTCAAGTGTCATTTGGCCGCCGGCGCCCGCAGCCCCGGGGTGTGCCAAGCGGGCGGGGTGTTGGGTGGGCGCCCCCCTCTCCCCCCACCGAAGCCGCTGCCCCGCGGGATGAGGCGGGGGGCGGGCCGCGAGGGTGCCCGTGTGTGCCCCCCTCCCCCCGCCGCGGCCCGGTGGCCGTGGGTCTTCGGGGATCGTGGGGACCCCTCCCCCGGCCCCGCCTGCTGGCGTCTGCCGCAGTGTCGGGAGACTTCCTGTGGCGTGGAGTCGGGCTCGGGCACGCCACTCGCAGCTCTGGGGCGGATTGGGGAGGCCGGGGCGCGGCCCGGGTCCTGCAGATTAGTGGGGGGGTGGTGCAGGAGAGCCCCCCCGCTGCCGTAGCCCTTTCTGGGGAAGAGCGTGCGGCTGCGTCCTGGTCGCTTCCCGCGGGGCCCAGGGCGGAAGGCGGCCGCGCCGCAGTCGTGCGTGCGGGAGTGGCTTAGCCGAGCCGCCGCAGGCCTCCGGGGCAGGCAGAAGATGGAGGTGCTCTCCAGCTCGCTCGGGGAGCATTTTAGTTTGTTTCTGAGGCATCCTGTTGGTTGAGGTTTTTTTTTTTTTTTTTTTTTTTTAAAGCAAAGACTGTAGTGAGATAGTTTTCTGGCCCTGGAAGTTTCTGTGTCTCCATTTCATTGAGTAAGGAATTTAGGCTGACACAGCCTACTTTGGTTTTGGGTAGCTTGGTCATTTATTTATTTATTTATTTATTATCCTCCCCCTCCCCCCCAGTCCACACCCGCCTGTATTTAGAGGGCTTTCTCACAGAGATGGCTCCTGGAGGTGCCGCGCCCTCTCCACCCCCCACATAGGATGGGATCCCAGGAATCCTCCAGGGTGGACCATGTGCAAGACAAGGGCCCCACGCTCCTTTCTTTGAACTTGGCCTTGAAGGATTAAAATGTTTGGGAGGAAACCCGCGAATCACTCTCAAATGAAAGGAAAGTCTAAACAGAGGGGTCAAGGTGCATTTTTTATGGGATGGAATTTCAGACTGGGGAGACTTAGGAAATTGTGAACTGAACTTGAGTAGCCACTTGAGTTACTTTTAGGAGCACAGTCAGTGCTCTCCTCCTAAGGATTGGAAACTTTGTGTCAAAACTAACTGAGCCGGCTGGAGAGACGGTAATACAGCAGGTGGGCGCTTGAACTCGGGTCCAGGGTTGATTCCCTTCAACCCATATTGCCCCCTGAGCACCATCAGGAATAATTCCTCTGCCTGACTGGGTGTGTCCCCACGGTAAAACAAATAGATACCTAGCTTTTGTGGGGTGCAGGGGATCCCAAGGCATCAAACATTCGAAGCATGTGCTTTACCACTGAGATATAGACCCCAGACCCAGGGTTTAACGTCTTAAACTGGTATGTAGTATTTACATAGCAGCTTTCATTGGGAACTTAAGAATTGGGTAAGTGTTCAGTTTTGTTAGGTAATCTCATTTCCCAGACTTAGAAAATGTTACTTTTAGTGTTACATTTTCTTTCGTTTTTTAGTTTCCAGCTCTACCTGTTGGTGCTCAGAGTTTAGATCCCTGTGATTGTTCCTGGCAGGCTTGGGGACTATGTCCGAGTTAAGCTTGGTCACCCTTATCTCTTGTACTATTTTTCTGACCCCTGTGTTAAGTTTCCTTTTCCAGAAGTACCTCTGTTTTTTTGTTTTTTGTTTTAGGGCCACGCTCAGTGATATTCTGGAGTTACTTCTGATGGTGTTTGGGGGATCATATGGGATGCTGGGTGTTGAACCTGGGTTTACCCTGTGCAAGACAAGTGCCTTACCAGCTGTACTGTCTCTAGTCCCTTTCCCAGAAGTACTTCTGATTAAAAATGTTTTCAGACACCAGTTTCCTGACAGATAGAACACTCTTACACTTTTATTCTGATGTGTTTACAGACTTTAAAAAGGCTTAAGATGTGTTTTAAGATGTGCTGATTTTTTTTTTAAATGCTTTTTGGCTCACACCCAGAGATGCTCAGGAGTTA